GGCTGGGCGTGGTGGCTCACGCCTGTAATCCCAACACTTTGGGAAGCTGAGGCGGGCGGATCACCTGAGGCTGGGAGTTCCAGACCAGCCTGGCCAACATGGAGAAACCCCATCTCTACTAAAAATGCAAGATTAGCCGAGTGTGGTGGCACATGCCTGTAATTCCAGCTACTCGGGAGGCTGAGGCAGGAGAATCACTTAAACCCGAGAGGTGGAGGTTGTGGTGAGCCAACATTGCGCCATTGCACTCCAGCCTGGGCAACAAGAGTGAAACTCTGTCTTAAAAAAAAAAAAAAAAAAAAAAAAATGAAGGTATTGGCCGGGCTGTTTCTTTAACAGGCTCTAGGGGAGAATCCACTTCCATGCTTTTTGCAGCTTCTAGAGGTCACTTGACTTCCTTGGCTCACTGCCCCCTTCCTCCATCTTCAAAGCCAGCAATGGAAGGCTGAATGTTTCTCATATCATATATAAGTCCCCCTTGCCATGTAATCTAATATATTTACCGGTTTCAAGGATTGGGGCAGTGGGGTGGGGGGTGTTATCTTGCCTACCATAGGGTGTTTAAATTCATCTTTTAACCACAAGTCTCAGTATGCATATTTTAAAAAGCCCCCAGTATACAGGAAGTATTTGGAGACATAGCAAAATAAGTTATGTGAAAAGGTCAGTTTCTTCTACTGTAAATCAGATTTTTTGGCTAGGACTGGTTGGAGTTTAAGTTAATAATAACAAATACTCAACCAATATTTAAATTAGCTTCACACTTTCCCCACCAACCAACCAATAAAACTCTTGGGGCCTCAAGGAAAGGGAAAAAGGACAAAAAGATTGACTCACAGTCTAAGAATTTACCAATTACAACCAGGTGCAGGATAGCCTGTTCACTAGTATATCTGGAACCCTGGCAGACTGAAACAAGAGAAACAAATGGTAGACATTACCAGTGAGTGGAGGTGGTGCAAACCTTGCCTTCTGCCAGCAATTCTCTCTCTCTGGGAGTGGCAAGTTGTATGATGCTATTTTATTGAAGTGACAAAGAGCACTGGGAATCATATCTCATTTTTTTCTGTCTTGCTCTCTGGACCAGTCAAGTTATTCTGAACTTTCCTTAAAGTAGAAAACCTAGAAATAGGATTACTTCCCATAACAACTTAAAATAATACACTTTTAAAAAGTTCCACAGAAAAAGCAAACAAGATTGTATAGCTCTACTTCATGTATTTATGAGTTGTTTCAGGAACGGTCACTCACTCATGTAATCCCAGCACTTTGGAAGACTGAGGTGGGTGGACCACCTGAGATCAGAAGTTCAAGACCAACCTGCCCAAGGTGGTGAAACCCTGTCTCTACTAAAAATACAAAAATTAGCCGGGCACAGTGGCACCGCCTGTAATCCCAGCTACTCGGGAGGCTGAGGCAGGAGAATCACTTGAACCCAGGAGGTGGAGGTTGCAGTGAGCCGAGATCACACCACTGCACTCCAACCTAGGTGACAAGAGTGAAACTCTGTCTCAAAAAAAAAAAAAAAAAAAAAAAAGCAAGAAAAAGAAAAAGAACTTTGATCTTATTGTTTGCATTTCAGACACTCAGACACATTGGAAAGACAGAGAATGGAAGGGATTAAAACATTCTATTATGAAAATAGTAGCATGGTTCTAGTCTAGAATTTCCTCCTGATTCCACTAGCATCACAGAAGTGAAAGTGACCTTTTCTTGTCTTTTGTCTTTTCCCCAAAGATAACATGAAGTTATCCAAAATAGCTTTGCACTTCTAATTACAATTCGAGACCTTTGACGTGGCAAACAGTCTTCCAGTTTAGTGTTATTGTTTCCCACAAAACTGCCTCAGTAGAACTTGATACACTCAAAGCTCTTTCAGCCAATCATATCCTAGAAACAGTCTTATGAAGTGACTCATTTCTCAGGCTGCACACAGCTAAGGGCACGGTGTTTTGTTTTATTCATCCTAGATACAGATTATGATCATTCTCTTCAGATGGTAGACTCATCTGTGAGCCCTGGCAGGTGACCCCGTTCAGAAAGCCAGAAACACAAAAGTTGACTAGATGTTTCATCGTTGCTTATGGAGCTGGGCCTACCAGATTAAGATCCAGAAATTCAGTAGGCTGCTACAATTTAATTCATAGCTACACAGAGTTAATGGTGAGTTCAAACCACATAAAGCTAGAGTAGACCTTCAGGAATGTGGCTTAAATAACTAAAAATTTCTCGCCTAGAATGTAGCAAGATGGAGTACTAAATGCCAAGACAGTGACTATTTTTCCTCCCTTGGATTTGAATATTACATGTCTGTAAGAGATCTGGATTTTAGAGAATGCTTTTCTTCATATTTAATATTTTAGGCCCTTCTCTAATCACAAAAGATTGTAGGTGAGTATAATTAGAACTTATACCTTCACAAATACATGGTCTTTTAATAAAATCATTTACATAACAATTTCACAAAGGGAAAATAGTGTAGTTCTATACCAACCATTTGCTCTAATTTGTTATTCTCTATTTTGTTTCACCTTGCTGCCTGCTTTTTAGAAAGAAGGAATAACAATATCCATTCCTTGAATATGTTTTTTCCCATCATCTAACATTTAGTGTTTAATTGTGAATGCATGGCAGACTATATTTCTGAAAAATCTCTAGTAGAATAGCTTAGGCATACTGCTAGTCCCCTTCCATTTAATATATTGTACTACCACTATTCATAAGGAGTTAAGAAATTTCCATAACCAAGACATAGGAGTATTAAAGTGAAAAAATATGCGTACATTTTGACCCAGCAAACCTACTTTTAGAAATCTATCCCACAGAAGTAATTATACCATTGGAAACAATATGTCTACTGAATGGAGTAGATTTTGGTATAGCCATATCATGAAATATCAATATCATTCACAAGAATTAGTTGATATCCGCATAGATGTTCATGTGATACTATTTAAAAATGTACGTTGCAAAATAATGTGTATACTATAGTCCCGGCTAGGCACAACGGCCCATGCCTTTAATGCCAGCACTTTGGGAGGCCAAAGCAGGCAGATTACTTGAGCTCAGGAGTTCAAAACCAGCCTGGGCAACATGGTGAAACCCATCTCTACAAAAAAACACACACAAGAAGCCTGGTCAACATGGCAAAACCCTATCTCTACAAAAAAATACCGAAATTAGCCAGCTGTGGTGGCACGCACCCATGGTCCCAGCTGCTCAGGAGGCTGAAGTGGGAGAATCACTTGAGCCTGGAAGGTGGAAGTTGCAGGGAGCTAAGATTGCGCCACTGCACTCCAGCCTGGGAAACAGAATGAGACCCTGTCTCAAAAAAAAACCCCAAAAAAACAAAAAACAAAGACTAAATCTAATACATAAAATATAAAAATGCATGCTTATGTTTTTAGGAACTTAGAGAAAAATGTAGATGATATTAATTAACTGTTAACATTGGTTTCATGGAGGACAGCACAGAAGGCAGCTCTGGGAAGGAGATGGTAGGCTTTGTCTTTGTGTACTTGTGTTATTGGCTTGTTTCAAGAAGCAAAAACTTTTTTGTTGGAAAGAAAAGTCCAATAAAATATTTAAAGAAAAAGAAGTCCCAAAGCACTCTTGTTTAAAAAAAAAAAAACAAAACAAAAACCATTCAATTGTACAGGGGTATATAAACCAGAAAGGGAAATCATCAAGTAATCCTCTTAGGTAACCTGCTTTATCTACTCATCAATGTATCAATGGTATCTTTCTATGTCAATAAAGTAGATCTTGATTACTCTTTTAAATGGCTTTAGAGTATTTCATTGTTTGGATATATTTTAATTTAATCAATTCTTTATTGTTACACATTTACATTATTTCTAGTTTTTCTAGTTATAAACAATAACGGTTATCCTTGTATATAAATCATTGCTCACTTGTCCCAGAAGTTAAATTGTTGAGTCAAAGGATATGCACACTGCTAGCATACCTTCTAGAAAGACTGTAGCAATTTATAGTCCTACCAATAGTTTATGACATGAGCCTAAAGAATTATCTAAGAAGGTTAGCTGACTAGCCATTCTTCCTGTAAGCAGCAAAAAGAATTTGCTTAGATTAGTAATTGGCAACATTTCACTTCACTTTGATGTACAAAAGGATGTGGGTAGAACTACAATTGTGCATTCAGACATCAAAATTCCTACTAACGGGGGGTGGGAGGGCCCACAGGAGTGTAGTCTAGAAGTAGAAAGCATGAGGAAAATAAGTCTTTTGTAGCTGTATGGAGATTGAAGAGAGAAAACAAGGCAAACTCTCCAGCTTTTCAGGTTGGGTGACTTGCAGCGCCATCTTCTGGCAAAGCCGCCAAAATCTTTCAACGTCCCTGGTAGGAATACAGTTGCCCTGAGTAGGTCCACTCAGGATGACACCAGATGATATCCCTTATTATAGTTTTAGGGGAATCTCTTCCTACCTTCGCCAGTCCTGCAGTGAAAACAGGTACTTAGACTGCTATACCCTGCCAAACCCTTCGATATACAGACAAGTAATTTATACATACATTAGACCTAAAGGTGTAAAAAACCCCATACAGCTTTTTAAAAATATCTCAAGACTTAAACATTCTTCTGTTTCAACCATCCAAGATATAATAGGAAAAGCCTTGCTTTTTAAAGCAATATTACTCTTAAAAATGTAGCACCCCTAAGTAGTGCGCTTTCAAGTAAAATAAAAGTCCCTTTCTCGGTGTAGTAGGTGTGGGAAAATTTTATGTGCTTTATATTCCAAATTGGTTTCAACTAGTGAGTTCTCTCCCGCATCTCTGCATGACTCTTAACAGCTTTACACTCTCTCCATCCTTTTCGTCTCTCACGTCTCCTCCTTTCTGTCTTCCCGCCTGCAGAGCCCGCCCCGCGCGTCCCTTCGCACAGCACCCTACCCGACCCCACTGTTCTAGCCCAGCCTCGCTGCTGCCTCCCAGCCGCCTCCGCTGCGTGCCGCCTTCCGCGCGCTGACGTCACACGCCAGCGCCGGTGACGCGCCGGCCGCTCCCCCTTCGTCTGCATTGGCTCTAGGGTTTTGGGACGGTGGGTTGCGGAGTCCTTACCCTGGCGTCTCGAGCAGTTGTCCCCATAACTCGGAATCTAGAGCCGCTGTTGCGAGGCAGGAGCACGTGGCAGTCAGGTAGCTTCCCAGTCCTGAATGCCGCCCGTCCCCACCCCGACGTGGCCACTAGCAACGACCTCTGTGAAGTTGGAGAGGCGGTGACGGAGGCACTCCCCCTGCTGCACCCCGCCGTTTCCACGGGGCTCAGAAACCAGTTTGTTTGTTTCGTCGGGGTAGTGTCGACCTGTCTTACGGGCGTCGCCCGAGGCAGGACGGAGTCAAACCCGTGGTGTCAACTGAAGGCGAGTGTCAGGTGTGGAGGGTCTCAGTGCCCCCTTTCAGTCTGGACTGTGAGCTGCTGCGGTTAGACAGACTTGGTTTCTCTTTCAGGATGTCATTTTCAAAATGCGGGATGGTACCTCTGCTTTATTAGCCCCATAGGAAGACTGCCACACCTAGACTGACGCTTATTAGTCATCACCGTTATTTCTACTAACGTCCTGTGTCACTGAGGTGAGTTCCACTTGGGGGAAGCAATGACACGCAAAATGGTAAAAATCATCCTGGAAATGAGATGTGTGTAGACCAGCTTATATTGAGATTACACAGATACCTTAAGTATTTGCAGGGAAAATACCTTAATCTCATTTAAATGTTAATTCTCTAAGACACACTGTATTCCAAAGCGATTCTTGGACATTACGGTATTTTTAAAAACTAGAGCGGTAATGGGATTAAAATAATAGGAATCTTAGTATGGGTAAGCAAGCGTTTACATTGCTTATGTTGTGTCCAGTTAGGAAGCGAGTATGAGTGGTAGTTAGCTGGTTACCCTGTAATCTTAGATTTCCGTTTCCATGATTTGACACAGTTTCCATATGTAAGGCATTAATAGTCCTACTACTTTAAGAGTTTTTCATAAATTTTTATGCAGGCCTATTTTTTGTTCTTTAAGATCTGCTTTAAGAAGCAGAAATATTTTTTATTGCCTTGGTAAGTTTCATTAGAAATGTTTATGAAGGATTAAAAGTAGCATCTAATCTAAGTTAATGACCTTTTCTTACGATGCAGCAGTGTTGTAGAGCTGATGGACGGGAGCCACATTTGGAGAGAAGTAACTCCTTGTTTCTAGTTTAGGTTTGTCTGGTATTAGAGGTTCTACAGGTCTGTTTCACTTAAAATTGCCATTGTTCTAGGTGAAATGTAAGGAGCCTATTTTGTGGGAAAACAGGTTTTTTCACAGTAAAAGTCACTGTCAGGAATTTAATAAAGGTTGTCAGACTTGACAAAAGGAGTTCTTTTGAGGTCGTGTGAATAATACATTGACATTGTATTCCAAGTAAATTTTGCTCTGTCTAATGTCCTGCCTTCTAATCTTAAGTCATGAACATGACTCCTTTTCACAAATGTAAATTCCTTATTTACCTGTTGGTAGTTTGCACTACTAAATCTGTTGAATATTGTCTGAGTAGACTTACAGAGAAGAAAAAATATTTTGAAAAAAGTCTAATAGAAATTCCATTTTTGCGTTCTGCTTTTTCGAATAAAGGAAAATAAAGAGCTTCTTTCCCTGAGAAGATAAATTGGCCCCCTCCCCCTATTCAAAATGGTGTTTATTGCTCAGATAGAACTGTATGTATGTATGGCTTGTAGCTGCAGACAGCTCCAAAAGACTTCTTGAAACCTGTTGCCATGCCTTTACCAGTGTTTCTCTTCAAGACAGCCTGTCTATAGAAAATCTGAAACACCTGATGAGCGCTTAATGCTCAACCTAAGTATGTGTTCCAGATTGATCGAAGTTGAATTTTTCCATTCATATACTCTAAAATTTTTTATGTGTGGCTCACAAAATTTTATTATGTCAAAAATTGCTTATTTGTGGCTTTAAAGAAATTCTTAGTGGCTGGGTGTGGTGGCTCATGCCTGTAATCCCAGCACTTTGGGAGGCCACAGTGGGCGGATCACTTGAGGTCAGGAGTTTGAGACAAGCCTGGCCAACCTGGTGAAACCCCATATCTACCAAAAATACAAAAAATTAGCCCTGCATGGTGGCGCGTGCCTGTAATCCCAGCTACTTGGGAGGCTAAGGCAGGAGAGTTGCTTGAACCCGGGAGGCAGGAGTTGCAGTGAGCCGAGATAGCGCCACTGCACTCCAGCCTGGGTGACGTAGCGAGGCTTCTCTCAAAAACAAAAAAAATTCTGGGTCGGACACCGTGGCTCACACTTGTACTCCCAGCATTTTGGGAGGCCGAGGCAGGTGGATCACTTGAGGTTACGAGTGCGAGACCAACCTGACCAATATGGCAAAACCCAGTCTCTACTAAAAATACAAAAATTAGCTGGGTATGGTGTCACACTCCTGTAATCCCAGCTACTTGGGAGGCTGAGGCAGGGGAATCACTTGAACCTGGGAGGCCGAGATGGCACCATTGCACTCCAGCCTCAGCAACAGAGCAAGACTCTGTCTCAGAAAATAAATAAATAAATAAATAAATAAATAAATAAATAAATTCTTAGTAAAATGTGAGGAAAGCTGTCTAATTTGACTAGAGGCTGAGGTACTTTTTTCTGGGGCATAGTTCATATACTTGAAGTATGATGCCATAGGAAAACTTGGAATGTCAAAAGTGAGGAGTTTGGAGATGGGGAATTGTTGAAGGATTTTAATTGGAGAAATTTATTTAGCCAGTATTCTTACTATTTCTATCAGATATTATTGTTTTTAATATTTATTGTTTTGAATAGATAATACCTTTGTATGGTTCAAAATTCAGAAAGTACAAAAGATTGAAAAATCTTCTCAACTACTCAGTTGCCTTCTCTGTAGGCAGTATTACTAGTTTATTGTGTATCTCTCCATAGTTATTACTTATGCAAGCCAGGGGTGCATGTGTATTTATATATAGATATATATATCTATATATATATGTGTGTATATATTTATACACATATATGCATAACTGTAAGCATAAGTATATGCTTGCCAAACAAATGATAGCATGCCATATTTATTATTCTGATCCCTAAAAATCTAACAGTGTATTGAGAAATTATATCAGTATAAAAGTTGCTGTGTTGACTGTTTGTGGATGGTTACATTTTGCCCTGTTAGAAACAGTGCTGCAGAGGATAACTTTGTGTATACTTTGTTTTCCTACATTTGGAAATATTTATAGGGTAAATTCCTAGAAATTGAATCACCAGATCAAAGTTTCTGTACCCTTGTAATTTTGGTAGATATTGCCAAATTATTTTCCTTAGTGCTTGTACCAATTTATACTCCCACCATATTGTCTCTTTCTATTCCCCCACAGTATGGTACAATAATCAACTGTGAATTTTGCCATTCTAATTGATGAAACATGCTGTCTCTTGTACTTTAAAAAAAAAAAATTGTGGTTAAATATACATAACATAAAACTTACCCCTTGTACTTTAAAATTCTTCTTCTTCTTCTTTTTTTTTTTTTTTTGAGAGGGAGTCTCGCTCTGTTGCCCAGGCTGGAGTGCAGTGGCCTGATCTCAGCTCACTGCAACCTCTGCCTCCCAGGTTCAAGCAATTCTCCTGTCTCAGCCTCCCATGTAGCTGGGACTGCAGGCACGTGCCATCACGCCCAGCTAATTTTTTGTATTCTTGGTAGAGATGGTGATCTCACCATGTTGGCCAGCCTGACATCAAACTCCTGACCTCAGGAGATCCACCTCCCTCAGCCTCCCAAAGTGCTGGGATTACAAGCGTGAGCCACCATGCCCACCCAAAATTGTATATCGTTTTACAGGAGATTTGGTATCGAGGCACATTTTAACATAATTTGTATTCATTCTTGGTGTCAACATTTAACTTCGTATTCTTTGTCCACTTTTCTGTTGGATTGTTGTGTTTTTTGGTCATATAAATATGTACAAGCTTTTTGTTAGAAAAGTGATATCTTTGTAATAGCTAAAATATTGGTCTAGTCGTACTAATCCCTCAAAGCTTTTTGATTTTGTGTTGTGCTTAAGCTACCCACTCTTAAGAGAGAAGTCATTCTCTCATGTTTTATTTTATTACTATTATGCTTTTACTTCTTACATTTCAGTATTTTAGCATCTACAATTTAGGTTGGTGTAAAATGAGGAAATAAATTAACTTTTTTTTCCCCACATGGGAAAGCCCCAAAGCTTATGTTTTTATTAGGACAGCATTAACTATAGAGATTAGGAATGAAAATCTTTATGATATTGAGTCTTCCTATATATTTCTTTCTCCACCACCGCCCCCGCCATCCCGGTGTGGTGTTGTTTTTTAATATTTTTCTGTCAGTTTTTTTGTTGAGTATTTTCTGTTGGTTCATTTTATAGGTTACTAATCCTGCCTTCTGCTGTGTCCTGTCTGCCATAAATCCATGAATGAGTTCTTAATTTCAGATATTTTATATTTTGGTTTTAGAATGTCCGCTTTTTAAAAATAAATTTTAAGGCTGGGCGTGGTGGCTCACGTCTGTCATCCCAGCGCTTTGAGAGGCTGAGGCGGGCGGTCACGAGGTCAGAAGATCGTGACCATCCTGGCTAACACAGGGAAACCTGGTCTCTACCAAAAATACAAAAAAATTAGCCAGGTGTGGTGATGGGCGCCTGAAGTCCCAGCTACTCGGGAGGCTGAGGCAGGAGAATGGCGTGAACCCGGGAGGCGGAGCTTGCAGTGAGCAGAGAACACACCCCTGCACTCCAGCCTGGGCGACAGTGCGAGACTCCGTCTCAAAAAAAATAAAAAATTAAAAATTAAATAAATTTTAATTCTTTGTAGAAATTCTCCATCTTTTAAAAAAACCTGTTTTATCCATCTTTTTATCTTATTTTCTTAGACATATTAATTAATCATGGTTACTTTCAAGTCCTCTATTGGTAACTTCATATTTAAGTCATTTGCGAGTCTATGTCTGTTTTTTTTTAATAAATGTGCATCATTATTTTTTGATGAGATACTAGACATTGTGAATGAAAAGTCGTAGAGGCTCTGAAACATGTATCTTGTAAAAATTGTTAGTTTTGTTTTGGCAGTCTGATGAAGTATTAATGAATAACTTTGATTTTATCCATGGTTGCTTTTAGGCTTTGTTAGGATGAGACTGTTTAAGTCCTCCTCCATGTATGCACAACTTAAGAACAGGAAAACAGGAACAGAACTTACTGTAGATTTTTGGACTCCTTCTATTCTTTCTCGTCTTCTCCAGGATTTTGGTAGCCCTGAACTCTGACTGCTTTCTCTCCTCAGCAAGACTGCTGCTTTATACGTGAGCTCCATTGTACTGTAGCACAGTTTGGAGACTCTCTTCAGGGAAAAGGATGAGATGAATGTAGAACCCACTAGTATGTTTCCACCTTTCAGTGATTATAGCCCCTCAATGCATTGCTGTTTCTTTATATATTTTATTCAAGTTTTAAATTGTTTTTGAAGGTGGAGTGATCTGATACTAAGGACACCATCTTGGTTGAAAGAGAGTCTCACTGTTTATTATGTAGACTTTCACTTAATCTCCTAGATCATAGATGGTATTTGCATTCTTAGTTGTGCCTGGTATACCCAATCTAGAGATATCCGTGGTCTTCTTTCAAGATGGGAGAGGAGTACTTATCTGACTGGGAGAGGTAGAGGAGGCCAACTGTCTGACACTTTTTACACAAGCTCTTAACTATCCTGTTTGAGTCCTAATATTATTCTCACTCTTAGACGCCCCAGTACTTCCAATTATTGAGCTAGTTTGTGGTAGGAATTGACTTGTTTCTGAATTATTTCCCGCTGCTGGCTTAAGGTACAGCTTTTCTCTAGCCTCCTAAGTCAGTTGCTGCGTGTTCTTTTGTGTTTGCCAGTTTCCAGAACTGTATTGCTGTTGCCTTCTCTTCTGTTCTGCCTTTTTGGTAATTCCTTTAAAGTCATGTTCGTTAGGTTCGGAGAAGTAGTAGAGGTAGATATGTATGGTCAATCTAGTGTGCTTAACTGTAGATTGCAGTTTATTTATTTTTACTTTTTAAAGAATTAGGCTAAAGAAATTAGTAAGACTTCTTTTAATTTTTTTGATGTAATGGCTTTCCCCATCACTCTTACTGTTTGAGGCGAAGAGTACAATTCTAAACAGTGTTGACATTTCCTATTTTCTGACTTTTTAATTTTCTTCTCCTTGAGTCATAGACTAGTCGAGTTGGCAAGGTCTATAAAATGGCCTTACATTTAAATCTTTCGTGTTTCTAGATAAACTGAAGTCCACAAAAAGGCAGATGGTTAGTTTTTGATTATGTAGCTAGTCTTGTCTCTTGATTCTGAATTCATTGCTTTATTATATGACATAACTCTTTGGAAAGCTCAAATGTCAAAAAAATCTCTGATTTTTTCCTTTTTGCTTATCTTCAAGGTCAGATATGTATTATAGAGATTGAATTGATGTAATTATTAGAGACCTTAACACTATAGAGTGGGTAAAGTTGGTATTGTGGTTTTAATTTGATGTTGGAAACTGAGTGGTGGAAAAGGCAAACATTAATACGAGTTTGTTACAATACTGAAGTCAACAGGATTCTTATGTTCCTTCAGTTATAAGTTATGATTTTGTGGAAGGCTATAGTACAATGTGTTACTGTCTTCTATTTCATTTGGTATGAAAAATTTTATGGAATTATAATTCAGTTGAGAAGTCTTACAACTAGGAAGTAGCTCAGTTAAATATATTGTAAGATGCTGAAAGTAATCTATTTTTTCATGCTTTCCCTTTTACTTCCTTTAATGTACACTGATATTACAAAGAAAGGAGAGTTTGTCTGTTTTCCTGAAAGTCATCTACCACAAGTCTTTTGTTGTTCAGAAAAGTGCCTGCATTTGACATATTTGATGGCAATTAGAGTCATCTTTCTTCACTAACAGGGTCGGTAGGTCTTCTCCATAGCGTTAGAACCACAATGTTCAATAATGTTGTTGGCAGTAGAATGCAACACTAGGGACTTTTGGAGCTTCCATCTTATTAGTGTGGTCCCTAGAAAGGAATTGGCAACTAAATTTTAAGGAATGGCCAAATTGACTAATTTTGTTTTCCCTCTCTTGGCAAAAAGTCACAGAATAATGGTGGTTGTGAAATAATCTCATTATATGGCTATTATTTAATTTAATTTATGAAATTTAGATTACTAAGATGAGTTTATCTTGTTTTTTTTCTAAGTAGCATAGTAATGTAATATATTAAACATTCATGTTCTGGAGAAATCATTAAATTGTGGCTGGTGCCCAGAGAGCCATTATATTGTGCCAGTTAACACAACTCGGACTTGAAAATATATTTGGAACAACTATTCTTTAACTCACTGATGCTAAAATGCTATAATAGTATTTTTTTTCTTGTTTCTCTTAAAATTGCTAAAGGCATTCTTGTTTTCTAAGGTAGGGAAAGGCTCTTTCTCACAAAATTTCGTGAGGCATAATTATCTCATCAGTGCTACCACCGGCTGAGTTCCGGCCTGTGGTCTGGTCTTGCAGGCACAGAATATGATGTTTGTCATTTAAGGAGATTGGATCATTTTTTAGAGGCAAAATAAAAACAAATTTAGCATTGATGGATGAGATGAGAACATGGGATTTTAAAATTTACAATGAGAAATATGGTAAACTGCCACAGAAATTTAAAAAGAGTTTCACGACAAGCTTATTTTCTCCTAGAAAGGAATCACACATTGGAAGCCTGCTATGAATGGAAATTAAAAAGAGCGAGCTAGGTGAATTAAATGTTTATTAGTTTCAGATTAGCATAGTAAATTCATGTATGTCTACGATAAGGGTGATATTGCCAGTAGGTGGTACACGTTATTGTACCACACACAAATGATTCTTTCTCACACTGTTTTCAGCTTTCACTACCTAGCTTATTGTATTCTGGCTTCTCCTGAAACTACCACTCTCTTTAAATTACTATTCCTAAAGATACTAATGACCTTAGTTGATTATTTTGGTGCGGTAAGGGCCTAAGTATGATACTGAAAGTAGAAATATAAAGAAAAGATTAATACGTTTGTTTATATCAAAATAATATCTTATATTTAACCAAAGGCAAATAGGATATAAGGGAAAATCATTTATGACAGATAAGAGCTTCATCACATAAGGAGTTTTTACAAATTAAAGACTAACCCAATATAAAATGATTAAAGAACATGGATAAATTGTTCAAAAGAGAAGAAAATAGAAATGTTCAATAAATGTGGCCAGGCATTGTGGCTCACACCTCTAATCCCAGCACTTTGGGAGGCCAAGGTGGGCAGATCAAGTCAGGAGTTCAAGACCAGCCTGGCCAACATGGCGAAACCCCGTCTCTACTAAAAATACAAAAATTAGCTGGATGTGGTGGCACACACCTGTAATCCTAGAATCACTGGAACCTGCAAGGCAGAGGTTGCAGTGAGCCGAGATGATGCCACTGCACTCCAGCCTGGGTGACAGAGTAAGACTCTGTCTTAAAAAAAAGAAAGAAAAAAAAAGAAAAAGAAAAAAATGTTCAATAAATGTGGAAGAGTTTTTCAAATTTACTGGTAAGCAAAAGAAATTAAAAATGAAACACCGTTTTCCCCATTAGATGTAAGGAGTAACAACAATAACAAATAGTGACACAGTACTCACATGTGCCAAGTGCTGTTTTCAGTACATTCTTAAATTAACTAATTCTTCTACCAGTTCTGTAAATATGTACTATGGTTATTCACATTTTACGTATGACCAAACTGAGCACATAAAGATAAGTAACTTACATAAGTTTACATAACGAAAAGTGATAAAGCTAAGATTTAAACCTAAGCTCTCTGACTCTAAAAGTTTTAGTGTTCTTTAACTATTACCCGTTATTGCTGCTCAAAGATTTTAATAAATAGTAATCAGTGTTTTGTTATTATAAATGACGTTACAGTAAACATCTCCCTGAATACAAAAAATAGTAATAACCAGTGTTAATAAGGGTACCTAGTAGCAGGCATTACTGGCTGAATATATATTAGTAGACATTTCTGTTAAGACACTTAATATGTTTGAAAGCCATACTGTAACATGGGCATATACTTTGAATGCAGAATTTATCCTAAGGAAATCCTTACCATAAATGCAATAAAATATGTGTACAAAAACTATCTGAAATTGTTCTATAATAGCAAACATTTTAAATGAATGTTGAATAAAAGGGGATTGGTTAAACAACTTCAAGAAATAGTGTATTGTTAGGCTTTCATTCTTTTTGGAGAAAATAAAGTAATGGTACTAATTAATTCATGTAAGTTTGCCTTTCTCTCTATACATTAAGTATATGCAGTATTTGGCTTTCCAAAGCCTTCTTATAAAGTTGAAATATCACCATTTGTTTTTTCTTTTTTCTTTTTAGATGTGATTAGGTTGTACTAGTACAGTATATAAAGTATAACTTTTAGTAAATATATTAAATATCCTTTTTTTAAATGTTAGCAAATCACTAAAGAATTAGATTTTGAATTAAACATTGAAATTGTTATAATGTTTTATGTCTCATGTTATAAATGCTTTATCTTTTTTGTTAGTTTTTTAAATGTCTAGCATATCTGTAAAGATGCCTTAGAAAAAGAATCATGGAGAAGTATGTTAGACTACAGAAGATTGGAGAAGGTTCATTTGGAAAAGCCATTCTTGTTAAATCTACAGAAGATGGCAGACAGTATGTTATCAAGGAAATTAACATCTCAAGAGTAAGTATATTTTTAGTTTGGTTTCATGAGTAATAGTTTGGTTACATTAGAGCTCATTGCTAGAGATTTTCTTTTAAAAAAAAAAAAAAGGGTAATTGATAACCAAAAGCAAAAGATTCCTTTATTCCCACTAATATCAGAATAGCCTATATATATTCTTTCAGATTTTTTCTATGATATGTGCTTATGTTTATGTGTTTAGAAAAATGTACTTGCTGTTCTGTAACCTAGTCTAGTTTGGACATCTTAAAATGTTTCTACTTTCAGATTCAACTCATTCTTTTTAACTTCTTGCTGTATTTTGTTGATTGAACTGTATTAATACTATTATATTTTAACCACCCGCCTATTGATGGACTTTTAGGTTGTTTATTAATGGTTTCATTTACTATTTTCTTTTTTCCTCCCATTTAAGATGTCCAGTAAAGAAAGAGAAGAATCAAGGAGAGAAGTCGCAGTATTGGCAAACATGAAGCATCCAAATATTGTCCAGTATAGAGAATCATTTGAAGGTCAGATAAATTATGTGAGAGAGTTAAAAAATCCTAAGACATTAATAAATCTTTTTGTGAATACATTCTTAGGAAAAAGATATCATTTTCGCTTAAAAACATACGCATGTGAATATCAGCTTGATTCAGTGACAATACTGATATCATGCCTGCATAATTTATTTTATTTTATGTTTTAATTGAGACAGAGTCTTGCTCGGTGGCCCAGGCTGGAGTTTAGGGGCATGATCTCAGCTTACTTCAACCTCTGCCTCCCAAGTTCAACTGATTCTCGTGCCTCAGCCTCCCAACTATGCCTGTATAATTTAATACTAGCTGTTACTAGTGATTTCTTTAAAAGAAGCAATGCAGTAAGTGCAAGAATTTGGACAGAGCAAGAACAGTAATTTACGTATTTTAGAACTGAACTTCCTGTAAGTGCTGCCACCACTGCCACTGAGAAAATGTTCTGATCTTTACAAAGTATTCTCACTCAGTATGTTCCTCTATACCTCACTATTACAATAGTGAAAGTTTTCTCAAGTTCTTAAAATATTATAGCTATAGTACTGTTTTGGAACTATATGTATTATATTTAATAATGCAGGTATTAAGATAAGTCAAAGCTTCTCTAAAGGCAGGTCAAAGTGGTTTATTGAAGTCCTATCCAAATATTCTCATTATTATAAATTTCTATAAACTAAAAAACAGATAATCTAGGTTGAAAGTAGAAGATAATTGAAATGACTCGGGGACATATTACATACCAGTTTCAGAGTCTGAATTAGAGCTAAAGTTACTATGTTCCCAGATGAACTCAGTGTCTACTATAAAAGTATGTTCTACTTTTATAAAAATGTGATTCAATTGATACATTATGTCATAAGGTACTGTATTTTTTATGCTGGCAGTGAAATGAAGATTTATATTTCATGTGAAAAAGTACAATATTAACCAACTCTTCCTTTTGAGGACCTTGAATTTTCTCTTATCTTTCTCCTGGTATCTATCTTTTAGTTTCTTTTTTTCATTGTTGTTAACAAAATTTTAATGTTTCAAGTTAAAAGGTTTTGAGCAAATATTCCAGCAGATATTTTGAATTTGTATTGACTGCTTCACATAGAAACATCTGTATGATTCAAAAGGGGTGGCATATTTTAAAAATAAGGCTTTATTATTTCTCTTAGTTTTAGAAGAATACATGCTCATGACAAACATAAATGATAGCATACTATATGTAATTTTTTGCTTTTTCTTATGCTACATACATTATAGCATCTATATATATGTTTTATAAATAGTGAATTATACAGTTTTCAGGAGTTTTTTTCACATTGTAATTTCTCACATGTATATTTGGATGATCTTTCCAGGTCAACCATAGAAAATCATTCAGATTCTTAATTAGCTTTATCGTATAGATTCTTATCCCAGTGGCACATTACAAACAGTAAATCAAAAGAAGATATGTGCACCACGAGTAACAAAAATGAAAAATGTCACCACAGAGTATGAGAAATAAATACTTTTAGAGGCTGGGTGCAGTCCTCACAACTGTAATTTCAACAATTTTGGGAGGTTGAGGTGGAAGGATCTCTTGAGCCCAGGAATTTGAGACCAGCCTGGGAAACATAGGGAGACCCCATCTGAACAAAATTTTTAAAAATTAGCCAGGTGTGGTGGTGCATGCCTGTGGTTACAGCTACTCTAGAGGCTAAGGTGGGAGGATTGTTAGAGCCCGGGAGGTCAAGGCTACAGTTAGCCACGATTGTGCCATTGCACTCTAGCCTGGACCCTGTCTCAAAAGAAAAAAAAAAAATTACTACTGGAAATAAGGCCATAACACAGACAGTAAAAGAAGTGAGAACTAGGAAAACTGTTCTTTGAGTTGTGATAGTCTCAGTGCTATGTAGTGATTCAGAAAATGTTAAAAGTGATATTGGCCACTCTTTCTTACTTGAGAAGTAAGGCATGGAAAGGATGATTGAAGTGTTCTTCTAAGCTGGACACAGTAGCATGGGCTTGTAGTCCCAGCTGTTAGGGAGGCTGAGGCGAGAGGTTCACTTGAGCCCAGGAGCTCAAGGTCAGCATGGGCAAAATAGTGAGACCCTTTTTCTGAAAAAAAAAAAAAAAAAAAAAAAGCCTAAATTAAAAGAAGTGTTCTTCTAGTCCTTTCTATCCATAGGAAGAAACATAGAAGTCCCTTTCTCTGTGGACTGAGACATAAAGGTGGATAGGGCAGTGCCTATTTTCATGTTTGTTCACAAATCATATACAATTATTTAAAAAGTGCATAAAATTAAAGAAAGCTCCAAGAGGGTGGAAACTGTGTCCTATTATGTCCTATACACTATTGAATCCTTAGAGTTTATCACAACATTTATTATTGTATTTGTTTAATAAGTAAGTGATTAAAGTGGATAAAACAAAGCAGATAATTAGTGGCCAGTTGGAAAACAAAGATAAACCATCTCTGATATGATATATTGGTGGAAGAACATGATTTTATATGTGACATTTAAGAAATCATATGTATTGAATGAAATCAAGTATATCTGCATTTTTTTATGTATTCAGAGATGTTTAGGTCAATGTGAATAGCACTATTCAATAAAATGGTGTATTTTTAACAGAAATCATTAATGATGGAGTTTTCTGTTAACCCAAGTCATTATATAATCTTTGTGACCAGTATGCCTTGACTTTGTGCCCTAATTCTTTTGAGTATGGTCCTGTTCTTTGTTTAGCAGATCTCTTTAATAAGCCTTTAAGTACCTCTAATTTAGCCATGCTTTTAATATATGTTTTTAAAAGTGGACTGTAATGTTTGTATTTTGTAGAAAATGGTTCTCTCTACATAGTGATGGATTACTGTGAGGGAGGGGATCTGTTTAAGCGAATAAATGCTCAGAAAGGCGTTTTGTTTCAAGAGGATCAGGTAAGTTTGCATGTAGGAAATTGACTCTTACTCTATTGAGAAGTAGTTCAAAATGTGTTTATTTATTTGTGTATTCGTTTTTAACTATAAATGCTAATCATAATTACTAGGGCAGTTTGGTATCATACCAATATTTTAAAATTCTTTCCCTCTAATTAGCTGCCACCTTTGTTCAGCTGCCCATCTCATCTACAGTCTGTAATGATGTATTGTTATCTCTGTGATGTATGTTATATATAACATGTGTCTATGTATATGCCTTAATTATTCATTATAACTGACTAATTAGTCTATATCCTGTCAGTCTGGCTTACTGCTGCCAGACCATATATTCCTAAAATGTGGCTTTGCCAGGTAACTCCAGCTCTAGAAGCCTTGCATTGGCAACTGCATTAAATCTAATCTCTCTTTTGATTTCCAGAATCTCTAAAGTATGGCCCTTTTCTACCTAAGCAGCCTTATTTTTTTGTATTTCCTAACCTGTACCTCTTTTCATTTACTTTAACAGATATTTATTAAGCATATACTTTGTATCAGGCACTGGGCCACATGTTTGTACATCTCGTTTTCCTCCCTGTGTATTTGTTCTTATTATTTCATTTATTTTGGTAAGCCTTTTCCCCAAACTTCCTGTTATTAATACTCTACCTTTTTTTAAGCCCAGTTCAAGTCCCAGCTTCTTTGAATTTTCTATAACTACTTTAATCTGTGATCTTTTCCTTCTCTAAATTCCTATCACATTTCTTATTATCACCAGTTCTTAATTTTAATTGCCTGCTTTTACATAGGGGACTAGGGGGAGCACTGTACTAGCAGTGTTGTATTTGTTATCTCTTCTAATTTGGATAAGTTTTTTCAATTTATAAGGAATCCAAGAAAAGTTAAGTGACTTGCCCCAAATCACATAGTCTGTGTTTGAACCCATCTCTCACTCTAAAGTTTATAACATTTTCTTTTCTCACAATTAAATTCTAAAAGTATTGAAGTATACAGAAATAGAAAGTCTTCTTTCTCCCCCCTTTCGTTCCTGAGATTACTACTGCTTTTAGTTTGGTGTATTCTTCCAGACTTTCTTTTCCATACTTAACATATGTACATATATACATTAAGACACATACATTCAGTAATGGGATATTATTATTTTTAAGATAAGCTCTCGTTCTGTCACCTGAGCTGGAGTGCAGTGGCACCATCACAGCTCATTGCTGCCTTTTACTCCTAAACACAAGCAATTCTCCCACCTCGCCCACCCGAGTAGCTGGTGCTACGGGAACGTGGCACTGTGCCTGTCTAATTTTTTTTTAATTTATTTTATTATTATTATTTATTTATTTATTTTGTAGAGATGGGGTCTTGCTGTATTGCCCAGACTGTTCTCAAACTCCTGGCTTCAAGCAATCTTCCTACCTTCGCCTCTCAAAGTGCTGGGATTATAGGCATGAGCCACTGTGCCATTTCTGGCCAGGCGCAGACATGGGTTTGAGTCCTTGCTCTACTTATCAAGTTGGTAATTGTTCTGTTAACAAATTCTGAGATTATTTTCTCATTTGTTAATAGGGAGGTACCTACTATACATGTGGTGAAGGTCAGATCGTAATGTATGTTAGTATATACAGTGCTGTTTTTATTAGAACTTTGTCAGATATGTTTCATTGTCCTTATTTTCATTCATTTATCCCTATTGAACTTTAAAATGTTTGCTATTAAATGATATTCCCTTATAAAGCACATTGATATTCTATAGATTTGATTCTACTCTTTCATAAGTACTCTTAGTACATAATGGGGTGTGTGTATATATGTGTGTGTGTCTGTGTGTGTGTTTGCATGTGTGTGTGTGTGTATCTTTTCTTCCTGGAAATTATTATGGAGATCTGTGTAGTTCATCCCTCAGTGAAGTTATTCATCATAAATGACAAACATTTGGCAAGCCATTCTTTTAAGTTAATAGCGTTTTTTCTCCCCCTCTGAATAGCAAGTTTTGTTAGCACAAATAAGGATGCTATTTATTTTAGCCTATTTAAAATAAGAAGAGGTCATTTAAACTACTTTCTGGGCTTTGAAACCGGAAAGCTTAGAGCCCCATTAGACTGCAGCTTAGCATCAGTTTGAGATAATTTTATCCATTTCTAGAATGTAAGTGGGGAACAAGAAGACCTGTGAAACAGATGATTCTCCAACTACTCAAGCCACTCTCTCAGTGGTACTTCCTTGTTTGCATCTTTACTGGACAAAAATCTAGTCAGGTTAAGAAGCAACCTAAGTCTATGACTTCATTAATAGAAAATAATGAGATGAACTAAGTACATTCCGTTAGACAGTCTCTACGTAGATATTTTAAAGATGTACCAGTATTTTTGTCTTATTTGCAAGTTTTGGATGAGTTTTTTTTATAGTCTCCCCACATGTGACCATAAATAATTTTCAGAATATATTCTTGATCAAAATAAAGTCTGGCCTCATTAGGATTGGTCCAAATATTTAGGTGCAGCAAGAATGTTAATTAAACAAAGAACTCGAGTTTAGTCTGAAAACCTAGAGCCTTATATTATCAAACAACTACTAAGGTTACAGAATTGATTTCTGTCTATAAGTTTTCATAAGGAATCTTGGATTGGATTTTTTAAAACTCTATTTGTTTTTCTACCCTAACGTCAGGAAACTGAGCCCAATACATTCTCTACCAAATTTCATCTGTAGTACCTATAAATTGGGGTGAATTTTTTTCTTTTTGAGAGTCTCCAAATATGCCAAGGTCCCTGGTTGTTAGGAAGTGACTTTACCACTTATGACTCAGGAATCCTGTAAGTCAGATAACAGGACAGTTTCCTGGCAGCGCTGTGTAAGTATTGGTTCCACACGTTTCTTTTTCTTTTTTTGAGACGAGTCTTGCTCTGTTGCCCAGGCTGGAGTGCAGTGGCGCAATCTTGGCTCACTGCAAGCTCCACCTCCCAGGTTCATGCCATTTTCCTGCCTCGGCCTCCCGAATAGCTTTGACTACAGGCCCCCGCCACCACGCCCAGCTAATTTTTTTGGTTTTTTAGTAGAGACGGGGTTTCACCATGTTAGCCAGGATGGTCTCGATCTCTTGACCTCACGATCTGCCTGCCTCGGCCTCCCAAAGTGTTGGGATTACAGGCATGAGCCACTGTGCCCAGCCTGGTTCCACATATATTTCTTAGTAGTAGGTTTGTCATAACTGATTACATGAAAATCATCTCAAATCAGGTCCTCCAGGTGTGGCCTTGGTTGCACAATTGATTTGTCCAATTACATTCTGACCAAAAGGAGTATAGATTCTTATTGAACCCATGAAAATTACAATACTGTCCTGAAAAGTAAAAATACATAAAACTATTTGCTTTTGATTTCTGAGTAGATTATTAAGATCAAGTATCATTTTAAGTTTATAAAAGCATAATCTAAATTGAGAATTAGACATAGCTTAAGAAAAAAAAGGGCTTCCTCATTTATTCATTAAATTTTGAACATTATACCAATCATATTCCAAACAAATAATCACAATTAAATTTTATTTAATTCATTTTTTCTTTCCTAGTAATTCTTATTCTTGATCTGGGGTCAAGCAGTTAGCGTTCATGATGTTTGTCAGCTCAAGGACTAAAAAAGTCTTAAAGAAATTGTGACTCAGTTTATTGATAAGTTCCTTGATCATTTAAGCAATGTTAGGTCAGAAACTTGTACCCAAGAGTCTATTTTCTGAAGTGCCAGTAGTTCAGCATTCCTAGTGTAGTCCTTTTCAGGAGCTTTCTGGCAAGCATCAAGCAGCAAAGTCTTACTGATAATGAGACTGAAAGACTGTGGTTAGTTTATTATAGTAACCAATAATAGAATAAAATGCTCTGTTGGGGTAGAGTACAGAGATTTGATAAGGGCTTGATGAATGTTTTTCTTGAGGATAAAAATGGAGAGCGAAGTTATTGACAAATTTCCAGGGCCTTCTCATAAAGCATGCATTTTGTGAAATATTAATAGTATTTTACCTATACAGGCTTAACCTAGGAAAGGCTGAGCATCTTTTTAGATTTGGCAAGTCTTCCCAGGCATGTCTTATAGCAGTGTTGAGCTAATAGTTATAGTGAGAAGTATCTGAAATTTTTCTTTTTCTAACAAACAGGTAACATTCTTTGGTTACTTAATCAAAGTGACAAAATACTGTGAAATATAGATGAAGGAAATAAAATTATAAGGATCTTCACAGTGAGGAACCTTTGTTCAAAAAACATAATCAAATGCTAAAATCCGTATAAAGCAGAGAAAATTATTCTGGTAGACATGAAATACCTACTCTTTGAGCAAATTACACAGACAGTAGATGGTAAGGTTTCTTTCTTCTGGTTAGGAGCTCCAAGATCAGTTTACTATTCTAATAGAGAAGCCAAGTTAAAGTTTTTCCATTAATATAATGTTTGGCAATAAAAGCTTCTCATGCCTTTAAAAAATTAATGAATCAACCTATCAAAACTGAGCATACTTTGGGAAAATTCTAATACATCTTATTACACATAGAAATCTCAGTTTTGGAGCAGAGAAGATGGATTATAGTAGTGCTTGGTGCTATAAGGCAGTCTGCACTAATGCAAAATAACATACAACTGTAATTCAGACAATTATAATTACTGTATGGTGCTTGGTATAATACAACATAGCATTTGAATTTAAAAGTCTTCTGAACAAGAGAATCCCATTTTTGAAACAATATTTTGTAAATATTAATATAGAAGTAATGTGTACAATGAAATAAAAAGCACAGATTAGAAGCAGGGTTACAATTTTAAAGGGCTTCCCTCTCCTCCAAGTCCTACCCCATGTAGTCGAACCCTAATGTAGCAGGAGTCTGAGCTAGGGTAGACAACGGGAATGAAAATGTAACATTTATATTTTATAAACTGTGCCTTCCTTCTCTGCTTTGCTTATATATTCCATCAAAAACTGAGCTCAGGAATCACCACCTCTGTCCAGCTTTATTTTATCACCTCCAGGCTACATTGGCTCTCCTCTATGCTTCTTCAACTCAGCGCATTACCTACCTTTAATTACTGGTTTACTTACCCATCTCCCTCTGTAGTCTTTGATATGGATCAATAAAAAATGGCCTGTGAACCAAATTTGGCCCCCTCTCTCTGTTTGTAAATAAAGTTTTATTAGAACACAGCTAAACTTAATTGTTTACTTGTAATCTGTGGTTGCTTTTGTGCTATAGTGGAAGAGTTGAGTTGAGACAGAAACCATCTGGCCTGCAAAGCCTAAAATATTTACTGTCTGGCCATTTACAGAATACATTTGCTGACCTCTGGTCTCTGAGCTCTTTCATTAACTTTTTTTTGCTAGTTCCTGCACATATCTGGTACATTTTTGGTACTGAATAAATTTTTTGTCAAATTAAGAAGTACAAGTATGGGAAATTTAGTAATAGAAGAACACTGTGAAATGAGACATGAGTGATTTCTAAGATGTGTTCCATTTCTACTGGTAAACTCCATTTTATCAGTAATACTCAACATAATTTTCACTTTCTTTTTCCTTACCTCTCCCTTGATGAATTAATTGCTGTCTTATTGTATCTATCTCTGTTAAAAAACTTATGCAATTATTATAGTTATTTGTGAGTATACTCCTTACCACTGTACGGACTCCTTAGAGAACTGTTTTTGATCTCTATACTTAAAATGCCTTACATGAGTATAGAAAGTACCTTAACAATCTGTGTAATCCTCATTAAATATCTATAGAACAGAAGTAAGAGTTAAAAAAAAAAGAAAATAGTTTTTTAAAAAAGAAAAATGCTGCCAACAGGTAAAGTAAAAAGTAAACATGTTACCTTTCATTCCCTCTTCTGCAAATCCACTTCCCTGAGGTAAACACTGTTAACTGATTGGCAGTTATCCTTTGATGCTTCCTTCCTTTATTCCTTCTTTCCTTCCTCAGTGCACACACACAATTAAATAGAGTTCAGGTATGAAATATAAGCATATTTTTTTTAAATAGAGTTATACTATGCATACTGTTTTGGAACTTCCTTTTCTCACTTAATAGTATGTAAACAGTATACACAGAAGTGCTTCATTCTTGTCAGTGACTGCATAGAATTTCTGGTATAGTGATAATACAATATACTTAATCAGGCCCCTTGAACATTCAGATTGTTTATATTTTTGGGTTCTGGCTAACAGTGCTATAGTAAACATCTTATATACGTCGTTTTATATTTCTGATAATATTTGTAGGATAAATTTGAAATTGAAATTGCTGTTTCAAATGGTGTGTGAATTTAAAATTTTCACATATTTTGACAAATGATTATAATTAACCTTTTCACAAACACCTGTGAGAAAAAGCTTATTTCCCAACGTTCTGACCAACAGTATGTATTATTTCATTTTAAGCAAGATAATATGGTATCTTAATTTTTTTTTTTTAATTTGGCAGGGAGTTTAGTACCTTACATATGTGTTTTTTGACCATTTTTTCCACCTGTCATTTGCCTCTCCAGTCTTTTGTCCACTTCTTATTTTGCCTGCCAGTACTTTTCTCAGTGATTTGAATAACTTTTGCATCTTAGAGAACTAGCAATCTATCATTTATGTTGCAGGTATTTTCTCAAATTATTATTAAACTTGATTGTGTGCATTTTGCTCTACAGTTGTTTTAAATTGTATGTAGTCCACTTTATCAGTCTTTGTCTTATGACTTAAGCATTTTATGTCATATTTTGAAAGTCCTGCTTTAGTCAGTTATTACAGATAATTAACTTATGTTTCCTTTTGTTATTTTATGGTTTTTTTTTTTTTTTAGTTTAAAAATGCCGTGTACTTGGAATTATTTTGATGTTAACAATGAGATAGAAATTAAGCCTTTTTATTTCCAAGTGGCCATCTCCAGAAAAGAGTGTTTATGTTATAATAAATGTGGGAAGAGAAAAAAGTCAGAGATGTCTTCCAAATTTCTGGCTTGATTTTTTTCCTTTTGTGATTTTTATTTATATTTTTAAAAAGCATCATAGAGGTCAGATTCAGTGGCTTATACCTGTAATCGCAGTACTTTGAGAGGTCAAGGCAGGAGGAACACTTGAATCCTCAGGAACTCCTGAGGCCAGCAGTTCAAGACCACTAGCCTGGGCAACATAGCAGGACCCTGTCTCTATAAAAAAAACAAAAATGAAAAACTAGCTGCCTGTGGGGGCATGCACCTGTAGTCCTAGCCACTTGGAGGCTGAGGCTGGAGGATAATTTAAACCCAGGAGTTTGAGGCTGAAGTGAGCTATGATAACATGACTGCACTCCAGCCTGGGTGATAGAGCAAGACCCTGTCCCTAAAGAAAGGGGAGGGAGGGGTGTTATAGAAAGAAGATGTATTAAAAACAAAGAAGAATCTCCTGTTTGTCTTAACATTATAAAATATAAATTATTTCCATTTTCACTCATAAAGGTACTTTCCACATTTGTTTTGATTTATAAGAGATGACCCAGTAGCATCTCTTATATTTTGGATTTAGTATGTGGAGAACTTGTGTTGACTTGAATATCATTTAATGTCAGTGCCTGCAGAGTTAAAATAAATTGTAACCTAAAATATTTTTTTAAGGATTTAGTTCCTCTCATCCCTAAATATTCTTGAATTCTTTTAATGGTCAGGGAGAGGCTACTGTGAATTGTAAGTTTTAAAAGAAATGACAGATCTGATTTTTCTTCCTAGATTTTGGACTGGTTTGTACAGATATGTTTGGCCCTGAAACATGTACATGATAGAAAAATTCTTCATCGAGACATTAAATCTCAGGTATGTTATTCTGACACTGATAACTTCTAAATGGATAAAGACACGGAACCTTCATTGTCTTGGGCCAAAAATTTTTGAACCTGATTTAGTATGCGTCAAATTATTTGTCTTGTCTCTTCACTCTTATCCTGTTCATCTGCATCTGTATTAGATCTCCTGCCTGCTTCCCATACTCTAAAAATTACTTTCCTTCCCAGTCTCTAAAACTTACAGAACATTTTTTATAACTCCAAAAAGAACCTCATACCTATTAGCAGTGAGTTCCCATTCCCCTCCACCTAGACTCTGGTAACCCCTACTCTACTTTCTGTCTGTGTGGATTGGCCTATTCTAGATGGTTTATATAAATGGATATTATGAAGTATGTGCCTTTTGCCTGCCTATGTATGTATGTATGTATTTATCTATCTTGATCTATCTATCTATCTATCTATCTATCTATCTATCTATCTATCTGTCTATCTATCTATCGTTTTTGAGACGGAGTCTTGCTCTTTTGCCCAGGCTGGAGTGCAGCAGTGTGATTTCAGGCTCACCACAACCTCCACCTCCTGTCCAAGTGATTCTCCTGCCTCAGCCCCACGAGTAGCTGGGATTTCAGGCACCTGCCACCATGCCTGGCAATTTTTTGTAGTTTTAGTAGAGATGGGGTTTCACCATGTTGGCCAGGCTGATCTTGAACTCCTGACCTCAAGTGATCTGCCTGCCTCAACCTCCCAAAGTGCTAGGATTACAAGTGTGAGCCACTGTGCCTGGCCCCTTTTGCCTGTTTCTAAATCAGACTGTCTTTTTGTTGTCATTGTTGAGTTATGCAAGTCCTTTTCTTGATAAAAGTTTTTTCTCAAATATATGATTTGTAAAAATTTTCTCCCATTTTATGGATTGTCTGTTTTCTTGATGGTGTCCTTTGATGCACAAAAGTTTTAAATTTTGATAGTCCAATCTATCCTTTTACTTTTTTTGCTTCTGCTTTTTGATGTCATATCTAAGAAACGATTCCCTAGCCCAACAGCATGAAGATTTATTCCTATGTTTTTCTCTAGGAGTTTTGTATTTTAGTTTTGATATTTAGATCTAGACTCCATTTTGAATTAATTTTTGTGTATGATTTGAGGGAGGGGACTTCATTTATTCTTTTGTATGTGAATATCCAGTTTCTCTAGCATAATTTTTTAAACTGGATTTTAAATTTTAGGAAAAATGTTGACTCAGAACTGGACTGTAACAATATTTCTAAGAATTTTTTTCCTGTCTTTTACAGAACATATTTTTAACTAAAGATGGAACGGTACAACTTGGAGATTTTGGAATTGCTAGAGTTCTTAATAGGTAACATGAATTTTAAACTTTGTTTTGATATAATGTTTTCAGCGAACTTTCAATCCATGATGATGTATATGTGATAATTTATAGTATCTTTAAGTATGTTGTTTACTGGGATGTTGCTTTATTGGGACATGTTCTGAGAAAGGCATCATTAGGTGATTTTGTCAGTGTGTGAATATTGTAGAGTGTACTTACACAAACCTAGATGATAAAGTGTACTACACAGGCAGGCTGTATGGTATAGCCTATTGTTTCTAGGCTACAAACCTGTACAGCATGGTCTGTACTGAATACTGTAAGAAATTGTAACACAATGGTATATATTTAAACATAGAAAAGATAAAATATAAAAGATAAAACATGATATTCCTTTATAGGACACTTACCGTGAATGGAGTTTGCTGGACTGGAAGTTGCTTTCTGTGAGTGAGTGAGTGGTGAGTGAATGTGAAGACATAGCACATTTCTGTATGCTACGGTAGAGTTTATAAACACTGTACACTTAGGCTATACTAAATTTATTAAAAAATAAAGTAATTGTTCTACAATGTATGTCAGTCACCATGTCACTAGGTTATAGGAATTTTTCAGCTTCATTATAATCTTATGACACCAGCATCATATAGGTGATCTGTTGTAGACCAAAAGCAACGTTAATGTGGCACATGACTGTGTCTTAAACTTCTCCAATAATTTTTTTTTTTCTTCTAGTACTGTAGAGCTGGCTCGAACTTGCATAGGGACCCCATACTACTTGTCACCTGAAATCTGTGAAAACAAACCTTACAATAATAAAAGGTATTTAAAATGATACTCATTGCATGATGTATTTCCTTTCAATCTTTTTGTTGTCATGTTTATTAACCTTTAGAATACTATTCTAATATCAGTAATACATGTAAACATATATGTATCTATAAAATGTTGTTAATATATGGTGAGGGGAATTGTAAAAAAGCTATTTGATTATCTTGCTGGAAGAACCACAGAAAGAATCACCTTATTATTTATGTTATAACTGAAAGTAGAGTGCTTTCTTTGGTCTTTTTCTTCGTGATAGTCACTTCTTATTGAATTATTGCTAGTATTTCTTGAACACACTCTAAGCCAGGTAGTGTTTTGAGTTCTATGTATTCTCTTAGTCTTCACATTGAGTTTGGGAGATGTAGGTATTAATCATTCCTCCTCTTCTTATAAGGAAACCAAATGCAGAGAGAGGCAAAGTAACGTCTTTGAAATCCTTGAGTCAAATAAGTGGTGGAATCAGCATCCAAACTAGGTGTCTGGCTCCCAAGCCCATATTTCTAATCACAGCACTGTAGTCTGGCTAGCGGACTATATAATATGTGGGTAGAAAGAGCAATTCTACCATTAAATTCCAGCTACCCTTTATTTTCTCTCTCTAATTGGAAAATCCCAACCAAGATAACATTGGTCAGTAGCTGTGGCAAATTTCTTAATAAATTTTTAATGTCCATTAAATTAATATTTTGTTTTATAATTTTTAAATCATGGTATTTTACAAATAATTGAAAAAAGTTTGAGTTTTATGAAATAAAAATAAATAGAATTTACATGAATTTTTTTGATATTGTTCTTTTAAATATTAAATTTCTTTAATGAAGCTTCAAAGTAATTGTTGGGGCAACCATTTTCTTTTTCCAATCTGAGAGAGCTACTTTTGTCATTTGGTTATGGTTGAAATTTTTAGTTTTAAAGGAAATTTTTTCTGGAGCACATATTTTTCCAAAACACTTTTATGCTGTTTATGTTTCCTTTAAATCAAAAAATTTTAAAGTACATTCTGATACTTAGAGGAAATTTCTCATTTTTATCTTCTCTAGTGACATTTGGGCTCTGGGGTGTGTCCTTTATGAGCTGTGTACACTTAAACATGCTGTAAGTAGAAGTTTCTGAAATATTTTTAAAGTTATGTTAAAAAGCGGCTATAATGTTTTTATTATATTTTAAGTTCTGTTATCTTTCAGGTAACCCTCATCCTAGAAATTCTCCTCTATGTCCGTTTTTACATTTCTCATTTTTTCTGAAGTATAAATTGATTTTCCCTTAATATATATGCGTATCTAGTATATTTGCTATTTTATAATATTTCATGCTGTTTTCCAGAAAATTATTTCTAATGACAAAAATGAATTTTGCTGTTTTCTTAATGTTAAATTTAGTATAAAGTTGATATTCTAGCTTAACAAATTTTACTAGTTTCATTTTAGTGAATTCTTTCAAAACACCCAGACTGATTTGGAATTGAACTAATTTAAAGAATTTCATTCAATATACTCATTGATGACTTTTACCAATTTAAGTAATCATTAATTCAGAGTATTTAAAATTTTTACTTTTGAGACTTTTTTTTAATAACATGTAGCACACTAAAAAGGGGGAGAGTTGTTGTCCTAAGTAGGTTTAATCTTAATAAAGCAGTTTTTTGAAATGAAAAGTGATTAACATTTTTTTACCCACTGATTAAACAATATTGTATTTTCATTACAGAAAACTTCAGAAAATAGATGAAAATATAAATAAGTGAATAAGGATCATAAACAGTTCTTCCAGCCAGTATTGACTACCTGTAAAATGAAAAATTTTTTTTCTTCCCCAAAAGTTTGATTAGACTTTATAAGAAGTTTTATAACCTGATTTTATTGCTTAATACTATTTGGGGAATATTTTTTCTTGTCATTCTTTTTAATGGTTGCATACTCTTTTACTATATTGCCTTAGATTTTTTTTTTCTTGCTTAAGGAAAAAAGCATAAGCTGACAAGGTAATGTGGGATGGTAGTTATCAGACGCTGATTTGAAATAATTGATCAGTTTTTCTGCAACACAGTTATTTTAGCTTTAAACCATTGGTTTGTGGGTTTTAAAAAAATCTTTTCGTCTACATTGTCCTGTCACCATCTCTTCTGTATTTTGGGATTGTTTACTCTTAAGTAGCATGTGTCTTAAGATACATGAAATCCAGTAACTTACGCTTTGTGAAGAGCATGTCTACTGAGTGATAAATGAAAGTGCATTGGAATAGAGAACCACATCTTTTCTGCATTTAGGATTCCTATTTAGGTGTACAGATGTTTCTATAAGATTGAATTTACTCAGATGACATTTAGGAGAGCTCAACATTTAATAGAACTTTTATAATCACTGATACCTAATTTATAGTACATTTTATTTTCTTAATGTGAATATTAAGATAACATTGTACAATTGTTCTGTAATATTTTAGTGGAGATATCAAAAGTTTAATATTGCCCTCTTTCAAGACGAAATCTTCAGATTTTAAACTGCCCCACCTCTTGTTTTCTTTTTACTTTAAAGTTTATGTTATGTTTAATTCTGACATATGTATTCCTATTAAGATATTTTTATACTGCTGATTTTCATAGCTTTTAGAAGCATCGCACGCACACAAAATAGTGAGCATTGTCTGAAAGGAAAGTATTAGTAGTTTTATTTATTAATTTTCCCCCAATGCTTTTAGTTGTGTAGTTAATTTCTTGTTCTAATCATTACAACAGAGGCACTAAAAGGCAGGTCTTAAATGAAGACTAGCAGGTTGTTCTTTTTCTGTTTGTGGTTCTTTGGCCCTAATTTTGCTACCTCTAAGGCATAACCTTTCACCATTTGATTATTGTCATAGTTTATGAAACGTTTATTTAATACATCCCATCTTTAAATATTTTAAATGAGTAAAAATTACTCTTATTTTGTGAGGGCTGATATTAATTTATAGATAACCAACTAAACTTTGCTCTAGAAAACATATTCTAAATATTTGGAGGAGGATGTGTTTCTATTCTATATTGGTAGGAAAAGAACTATTTCTTATTACCGATATTCTCAGTTTCAATTTATATATGTTTCCTGTATGTTATTTATTTTCTGGACTTTAGTTTGAAGCTGGCAGTATGAAAAACTTGGTACTGAAGATAATATCCGGATCTTTTCCACCTGTGTCTTTGCATTATTCCTATGATCTCCGCAGTTTGGTGTCTCAGTTATTTAAAAGAAATCCTAGGGATAGACCATCAGTCAACTCCATATTGGAGAAAGGTTTTATAGCCAAACGCATTGAAAAGTTTCTCTCACCTCAGGTATGTTCTTTTTCCTTTAAAATTAAACAGTAGGGTTATGTTGCTTAGCTAGAACATGGCCTCCAGTGTTGAGGAGAGCACATCTGGACCTTGGGGGAATGGTGTGCCTTTTTCAGACTAAATTAGTGCCACTTTCCTTTCCATGCTCTTTCTTTTTCTTCAGATGAGAGTATTGCTCTGTTGTGCAGGCTAGAGTACAATGGCAAAATCATAGCCTACTGCAGCCTCAAACTCCTGGGCTCAAGCAGTCCTTCTGCCTCAGCCTCCTGAGTAGCTGAGACTACAGGTGTGCACCACCGCACTCAGCTAATATTTAAAATAAAAAAAATTTTAGATACGGAGTCTCACTATGTTGTCCAGGCTTGTCTTGAACTCCGCCTCAAGTGATGCTCTCACCTTGGCCTTCCAAAGTACTGGGATTGTAGGTGTGAACCAGTTCACCCAGCCTTTCCATTTTTATGTAACTGTTTTGTTAATGTTTGCTTTCCAGTTATGCATTATTCCTCTTTTCTCTGGATTTCTAACTGTAAAATTACTGAGCATTTCTATGCTTCACTTTCCTCACCTGTGAGCAAAGGGGTTATTGAATGTATCTGTGAGGTTGTTATGAGAATTAAAAGTGATAATACACATAAAGTGCTGAATGTCTAGCATGTAAGTGCTCAAAATATTTAATGTCTTAAATATTACCTACATATCAATGTATTTTACTAATACACATTTTTTTTTAATTCTTTTTGAGACAGGTTGTAGTTCTGTTGCCCAGGCTGGAATGCAGTGGCATGATCACAGCTCACTGCAACTGCCACCTCCTGGGCTCAAGCCATCCTCTCGTCTCAGTCTCTCAAGTAGCTGGGATTATAGGCACATGTCACCATGCCCAGTAAATTTTTGTATTTTTTGTAGTGACAGGGTCTCACCATATTGCCCAGGCTGATCTCGAACTCCTCAGTTCAAATGATCTGCCCACCTCGGCCTCCCAAAGTGCTAGGCTTACAGGCATGAGCCACCACGCCTGGCCTATAAATGTATTGTTAGCATAATCTATATGATTATAGTTATATTCTTTTTGATAGGAAATGACTAGAAACCATTTATATGTAGGTATACTAGATTACTGACTCATGATTTCTCCTTTAGTGCACACATAGGTGCATAATTGTTGAGTTTAACTGAATTTTAATTCCATAAGATTTTTAAAGCAATCTATATCAAATCAGTTAGCATAAGTTATAAAAATGTGATCACCTGAAATTGGAATTGTTTTACTTTTCTGGTTTAGTGCGGCCTTTGTTAAATAACTGTTAACCTCCAGTAAATAAGATATTCAGCAAAACTATAGTTTTGTTATTACTTTTATATGCTCATGGAGAAGAAGGAAGTATCATATGTCCTTCTGGCTTAACAGAACATGCATGTGACCAAATACTCTTCAGAAAACAGAGATGTTGATTTTACTGTTGCTACCAGGAGAATGCATTAGTATGCAAGAAAACCAACTAACATTTGGAGATTAAAGGTTACTTGTATAGGTCATAGCAACAGCCTCTGAAATGTGGGTGTCTTACAAGACTCCTTTGTTATGAATAACGTTTGCGTGGACACTTTTATTATGTAGTGTACTATTGTTTTTTTGGCAGCCACTAGAGAATAAACAATGACTTCATTTAGTCTTGCTGAGGTTTCTCTCTCCCCATACCAGGAGTTGGGACATATAGTCTCAAGGCTGAGGTACTGGAATTTAGCTAGCTAGCAGTTAAAGAGAAAATATTCAAGCTTAAAATGTGCAAAACTTATAATATGAAAAGAAACAAGGGCAGACTGTGATTATTCACAAATGGAATATTTGACATTATGTGTTAGTATATACATAGACCCTGCTTGTTACTATTTAAGCACCACTTAGATTTCATTCTTCACGAAAACCTTTATCTGCTGTTCCTCAGATTTATTTTCTACTATATATCACTTGTTGTTTAAAGATAAAAACCTTTATCTGCTGTTCCTCAGATTTATTTTCTACTATATATCACTTGTTGTTTAAAGATAAAAACCTTTATCTGCTGTTCCTCAGATTTATTTTCTACTATATATCTACTTGTACTTAGGTGAGACGCTTTGTGGCACTTTTGTTTGTTTGTTTGTTTGAGGATGGAGTCTCACTCTGTCACCCAGGCTGGAGTGCAGTGGCGCAGTCTCAGCTCACTGCAACCTGCACCTCTGGAGCTAAAGCAGTCCTCCCTCCTCTCAGCCTGCTGAGTAGTTGTGATATATTTTTTTAAAGACTATAACTGTGAAACAATTGATGAGCTTTACTGTAACATATGAACTATTATTTTCAGTATCACTATAATGCTCCCTATCATTTTAGTACCTAGTCCTCTCAAGACCATCAGCCATGGTTGATAGGGCCTAGTTTTTAGTCTTGTGCACTCTGGCAACATCTTCCTGGATATGGCTTGAAAAACTATGGATAAGTTCTGATTCATTAGGAATATAGGGGCTGTCCAGTGGAATGCTCTGTGACAATGAAAATGCTCTATATCTGCATTGTTCAATGTTGCAGCCACTAGCCACATGTGGTTAGTAAGCACTTGAAATGTCCTTGGTATAACTGAAAAGCTTCTCTCATATATATATATATATATGTGTGTGTATCTTAAATTTTAATTCAAATAGGTGCATGTGGGTAGTGGCTGACTCTATTGGACAATACAACATAGGGATTTCAGGATCTTCTTGGATTCTGTATGTCCCATCTCTCAATTCACATGAGCATTACCACAGGAAAAGAAAGACTTCTCCAATAGTGGAAGAAATGATTCGATTTAGGGACAAGATTGAGATCATAAACCACCTGTTTTTTTCCAAGAGAAAGAAAAGGAAAAAAAATGCATTTTTTGAGAAGGGAACACACATTCACATAGTTACCCTAAATTGCCTGTGAGCCAGACTTGGCTGTTACATTTGTCTGCTAACGAAAAGGGTCTCAAACTTGAGCATGCCTCAGAATCACCTAGAGGGCATTGCTGAGTCTCACCACCACAGTCTTGGTTTCAGTAATTTTAAGGTGGAGCCTGACAGTTTGCATATTTACTGAGTTCCAGGTGATGCTGATCCTGCTGGTATGAGACTTTGAGAACTGCTCTAGGGGTTTTCTTAATGGAAAAAACAACCCCCTCGGATCAAGTATTTTTTTTGCCTATCGGAGTGTCTGGACCGCTGTTACTATAGGAAGATTCTCTCACCAAGGCTCAGTTCTCTTGAAAAAAGAGAAAATTCACTTGCCTTTGCCTTTCCCACAAAGTAAGAAAAAAAAGCTTAAACCAAGTTAGCTCTTTGTTGGTATCATAGTTTTGAACTTAAGGAGAGAAAAATATGGAGTAAGGAGAAAAAATTACTTGCAGAAAATATAAATGATTTTTGTTCCTGATTTATAAACATCTATGTTTATAAATGCTGGAGAATATATAATGGAGAGTTTATACTAATATTAGTGTATAAATGGAGACATTTGTTAAATTAAGAATATTTACATATTTATCCAATAACTTAATAAAATTAGTTATAATTTATAATTATGAGTTACAAAACTCATTGGAGATGTTAAGCAGATTCAGAGTAAAGTTAAAATATCTGAGAGATTACTAGATAATTTATTTTGATAATGAAGTGATTCTTCAGTAGTTTTGAAGAAAATGAAAGCTATGGATGCACATAGAATATAGAGATTTTTCCAGATAGGTAGTTGTGTTAAATTGCTGAGAGATGAAATAGGCAAGTAATGTATGGATGCCTACCTTGCTCATTAGATTAATTTGAGAAGAAAGCCTCTATCTGGAGAACTAATAAATTGGTGCTGGGCATGGTGGCACATACCTTTAATCTCAGGACTTTGGAACACTAAGGCAGGAGAATCACTTGCTCCCATACATTTGAGACTAGCCTGAGCAACGTAAGGAGACCCCCATCTCCATGAAAAATATACCAAAAAAAATTTTTTTTGAATCAGCCTGGCATAGTGACACAGGCCTGTGGTCCCAACTAATTGGAGGCTGAGAGATGGGAGGGTTGCTTGGGCCTGGGAGGTCAAGGCTGCAGTGAGCCATTGTTGTCTCACTGTACTCCAGCCTGAGTGACAAAGTGAGACCCTGTCTCAAAAACATACACCCATAGATACATACATAAATAAGATTGGGAGGGAGTTAGCATGAGAGGAATTTATTGAATGGATTTTTTTTTTTAATTTTTCTTAATTTTTAAAATAGAGATGAGATCTCACTATGTTGCCAGGGCTGACCTCTAACTCCTGTGCTCAAGTGATCCTCCCCTTGGCCTCCTAAAGAGCTGAGATTTCAGGCATGAACCACGACACCTGGGCTTCTTCTTTTTTTTTTTTTTTTTCTTGACTTGGTTTTAGTACGGTTTGGCAACATAAATATTACTGAAAAGGGGGAAAATGTATTACAATTAATGGGTAGGTTTTTTATTTTGAAAATGTAACATCTTTTCTGATTTTTTTTTTTCTCTTTCAATCTAAGCTTATTGCAGAAGAATTTTGTCTAAAAACGTTTTCAAAGTTTGGATCACAGCCTATACCAGGTAAATGAAATCTGATATGAAACTTTTCATCTGTTTGTGGTAATCAAACCTAATTAAACTGGAAATATATGTTGATATAGTAAGTTGGGATAATTCTAGGATAAATTTAATCCAGAGGAAATGCACCTTAGAATTATTAATGATTTATGGCAATATATAGTTTCCTTATAACAACATTCTCATTTCTTGTCCATTTTATTTAAATGAAATCTGGCCTGAAATCTTATGTCTTCAATGCCTAGCTGATATTTTGAGAATGTTGTTATAGAATTATAAAATGTTCAATTTTGGTGTAAATCTTCATATAAAATATTATCTTTTTTTTTTTTTTTTTTTTCTTCATATAAAATATTATCTTTTTTTTTTTTTTTTTTTTTTGAGATGAGATTGCGCTCTTGTTGCCCAGGCTGGAGTGCAGTGGCGCGATCTCGGCTCACTGCAACCTCCGCTTCCTGGGTTCAAGCGATTATCTTGCCTCAGCCTCCCAAGTAGCTGGGATTACAGGCATCCACCACCAAGCCCAGCTAATTTTTTGTATTTTTAGTAGAGATGGGGTTTCTCCATGTTGGCCAGGCTGGTCTCAAACTCCTGACCTCAGGTGATCCACCTGCCTCGGCCTCCCAAAGTGCTGGGATTACAGGCGTGAGCCACCGCACTCGGTCATAAAATATTTTCTTTGAGAAATATTTCATATTCTGAATTTTTTTAAGTAAGTGAATGTGAAGTCAAGCACTTTATTAAAGATAGGTTTTATTTTAAACAATGTGACCAGTGGTATTAGAATTGTTGTAAGATTATGGATATGGTTATATACTATGTGTGTGTATTTAGATGTATCTATGTGAGAGGGAAATTATTTTTTTCCAGAATAGAATGATTTCAGAATGGATTTCTAAAATCAATGGAAGTTATTTAATACGTGAAGGGTATATTGTTTTTCAAACGTAATTCTTTGTACTACTACATTTTGAGTTTGGATAAATTAATAAAAATAGATATCATAAAAATGAGCCCATTTAGCTAGAAGTGGTATGACAGTGGGTTCTCAGGAAGGCAAGCTGCATTTAGCCCTTCGTTCTGGTTTTTTTTTTTTTTTTGAGATGGAGTCTTGCTCTGTCTCCAGGCTGGAGTGCAGTGGTGCGATCTCAGCTCACTGCAACCTCCTCCTCCCAGGTTCAAGGGATTCCCCTGCCTCAGCCTCCCAAGTAGCTGGGAATACAGGTGCCCACCACCATACGGCTAATTTTCCGTATTTTAGTAGAGACGGGGTTTCACCCTGTTGACCAGGATGGTCTCAATCTCCTGACCTCATGATCCACCTGCCTTGGCCTCCCAAAGTGCTGGGATTACAGGCGTGAGCCACCTGCTGCATTTCGCCCTTCTTAAAGACCCTTAGACATCCTCTCATTGCAGAGACCACCAATCCCTGGGAAGTCAACTCAAACAGAATTTACAAGAGACCAAGAATCGGCATGATTTCTCTGGGCAGTGGACAGTCAAGCTTCGTAGAAGTCATATCTTAATCAAAAGGCTCCTTGTCACAAAAGCTAGAAATACCCAGTGTCAGCATGTTCTTTCCATGTGAATAAACCCATATGGGAATTAGAAAGTAATTTGTTGTAAGAGCATTTGGTTGAATGAAATGCTTAATGGGAGTAGTATTACTGATAAATACTTTGTGGCCTCCAGTCCCCTATGTTAAACTTCATGCCATAGGTAGCCTTGTCACTGATCCTGAAAAATGCTCTAAAATCACGTAGGTAATTCTTCCTTTTCTCTGGAAAGTAAATGGGACTGTTCATATCTGTTTCTCAGAAATCTTTATTTTTTATGCTTTTGCGCCTCTAGCCCCTTTTCTGGCATACACTCTATTTCTTTGATTCTATTAACACGTTTAGCCAGGTTGCAGTATTGTGACTCTGTGTATATATGTGTATGTGTATGCTCTAATTTGATTGTACAGTTGAACTCTCGAAGGGAAATCTTTTTTTGCTCATGCTTCCTGGTTTCTGGGTCAAGATACAGTTGGAGTATGTGTTTGGAAAACCTTACCCTGTCACATCGTATATCCCATATTGTCAACAAAAATTACTTCTGAATCTCTAAAATGCCGACTTAATGGCTTATATTGTTTTTATTTTTAAAAGTTTACTAAATTATATGAAAAATACTTATTATAAAAATGTTTTAAAGGAAATAAAAATTACCCCAATTTTAACACATACTGTTATATTTGATATATTTTTCTGTGATAATATGTGCATAATAACTACAAATTGAGAATGCATTATTAGAAGTTTTGTTTCTTTTAATTTATACTATTATATGATGAACATTTTCTATTACAATTACATTTTTTTTGAAGAACTGAGTTTAGCCATAGGATTTCATTTTAAACCAGTTAAATTTTTTTCTCCTTCCCCCCCTAAAAAGGAAGAACACTTCTGGAAGAAATTGATTTAAATTGATAAATTGATTTAGCACATTATAAAATCCTGAGCTAGAGAGCAGTCTGGAAGTGGAAGAAAGCAAGCTGCTGCTCAGGCTTTAGAAGAGTTTGAGCAGAGGGGTATCTTGGCAGATAATAAAAATAAGAAAGGGAAAGAGGGTTTCAGTAAGGGTTTATATAGACTATACTCTGACTTCTTTTAATATCCTCCAGAGATGTGAGTAAATAGAAGAATTTTCTTTTTATTACCTTAGGATGCTTTTCTTTAACTTATCCCTTCTAAGACTGAACCCCATCTAGGCTTCAATAAGGGTTAAATACATAATACTGTAGGGTTTATTCTTGTGCATGGAGTTTCTCTGATTATTTCTTTAATATCAATTCATAAATAATATTCTTAATATAGATTGCTCTCCAGAAAGTTTAACCAATTTATATTTCTGCCAGCAGTCTATGAGGTACCCATTTTGTGGAACCCTTTGTGATAATGATTGTTTTAAGATATTTCTTTTTTGAAGGTCTGTAGGTATAGATACCATTCAGACATTATATGAAGGCAAAAAGTTGCTTATATTGATGTAATTAATGCTTAACAGTTGCTCTTGATTATCTTCTGATTTTGAAAGTAGTTTCTAAAATGTGAATTTTTAAAAAATTATTTTTAACAGCTCTTTTGATACATAACTCACATACCATACAGTTTATACATTTGGTGTCTACAATTAAACGTGTTTTTTAGCATATTCATGTTTAAATTATTTTTAGTATATTCACCAATACGTGCAACCATCACCCACTGTCAATTATAGGGATTTTTTTTAATGTTAAAAACTTCAACATGTTAGAGGAATTTGGCTTTTAGCTTCTGTCAAAAAGTGACTTTAGGGTAAAAGAGTTAAGGCATTAGTAAATACTAAGGGATGAATTAAGATATTTGATAGAAAGTTTCAAATACTGTCAATGATTATGAAAATTAAACAGTGCTATCTTGAAGAATTCTGAAAGTAAAGAGTTAATGTAAAGAACTGCAGACAAAATTCTGTGTATCTTTTCGTTTAGCCAAAAGACCAGCTTCAGGACAAAACTCGATTTCTGTTACGCCTGCTCAGAAAATTACAAAGCCTGCCGCTAAATATGGAATACCTTTAACATATAAGAAATATGGAGAGAAAAAATTATACGAAAAGAAACCACTGCAAAAACATAAACAGGTATGATCATGTTACAGACCGTGTGTTAATAACAAATTCAATTCAATCTTATTTCATCGCAGCCCAATTCAGTTACCTTGATATTATAGGATTGCTTTTATTAAGTTACCAAGGAATGTCCTCCTTCTGTGTTTTACCAATCCTCTAAAACTGAGAAGCCCTACAGGAGTCATAAAAAGTCATTAAGTAAATATATTAAGTAATATAATTAGTGCAATAAAAAGTGAGTGACATTATAAATGAAATAACTTTGAACAACCTAAGCAGAGCCGTTTGGGTTCGTGCATAAATGAAATAAATACCTATGATGTTCTTGATAAAAATCTGGAAATATTTGGTATTTGAGAATTCACAGTCAGATAAACAGAATCATAGAGCTGGAAGGAATGTGATCATGTAATCTACTCTATCATATTTCAGATGAAAAATGAAGGCCTGTAGAATTTAAGCAACGTGCCCAAGAACGCAGTGATAGTTGCAGAAATTTGACATTTTATGTCAGTAGCTGTATGCTTTGGTATATGGAACTTGTTTTATTTGGATTACATACACATACATATACATATACACAACCTTAGATATGTATGTATACACACTACTGTAAGATAAACTTTATATAGTAGGAATGATCAGTCACTTGGTTTAAAATCTGTCATAGGTCAGGTGTGGTGGTTCACACCTGTAATCCCAGCACTTTGGGAGGCCAAGGCCGTTGGATCACCTGAGGTCAGGAGTTCCAGACCAGCCTGGCCAACATGGTGAAACCCTGTCTCTACTAAAAATACAAAAATTAGCCGAGTGTTGTGGCACACACCTGTAGTCCCAGCTACTCAGGAGGCTGAGGCAGGAGAATCACTTGAACCCAGGAGTCAGAGGTTGCAGTGAGCCAAAGATTGCGCCACTGCACTCCAGCTTGGGTGACCATAAGATTCTGTTTCAAAAAAAAAAAAAAACCAAAAATAAAGAAATTTAGCAAAATTATAATAATAAAATGACAGATCGTAAAAAAAAATTTTTTTAAACATACAGTAATAGCAGATACAGGAAGCAGCTGCTATTCGTAGTGCTAAGGCAGAGTACCCAAAGAAGACACAAATTTTAAAAGAAACCCTAACCCCATCCTGAAGGCTGAGATTCAGACCTTACTGGGTAGAGTATGGCAGTAGCTGACTCGATGACACCACAGTGTGGGGCTGGCAAAGAGGAAGGTGTTCACTGTGGAGCTGACGAAACTCCCTGCGAAACTGCCTGGAGTGTCAGTAGAATGTACTGGGAAGCCACTTGAGGAGGGACTGAACTCACTGGGAAGCCTGCTGGGGTGCCAGTGGAACTTGTCTGATGCTGCTCTAGCTGGGATGCTGGCTGAGGCATCAGCAGAACTCTGTGGGAAGCTGTTCTTGCAGGTGCTGCTGAAACTCACAGGGAAGCTGGTAGGGGCACTGGCCAAACATTCCTGGAAGGTGCCTATAGGGGTGAGTGCTGCTGTGTGTCCCACTTGCTGCAGTAACAAGAAGAAAGGAAGCATACTAATCAGGAAGAGAAGCTTCTTCCTTTGCAGTGACCCTCTCAATTTTACTGAGAAAGCTTAATATTATGTTAGCAATCAAAGAGGAAATGTTTACAACGTCCAGCTCTAGCATCACAAGCTGGACAGTGAAGAGTAGATTTGGAGCTGAGGGGCAGTATAACTGGCATGCTGGTTTCATCTATCTTTAAAAAGATGTATTCAAACCTGAGTGGGCCAATTCCATCTTACCCTTTTATCTGTCTTTACTTCAGTCACCACAAGAAGCCTAGGACTCCAGCTTTCCCTCACTTCCTAAATTCTCCCATCGCTGTAAGACTCTGGTCATACCCTGATCTGCCCCCACCCCCTGCATAGTTTTCTATAGGTTGGTGCAAAAGTAATTGGGGTTTTTGTCATTGAAAGCAAAACCCCAATTACTTTTGCACCAACCTATAACCTCTTCCCAGAAAACTCTCTTATAGTATATTCTTGGCAAAATCCACTGTATTTTAAACTTCTAAAAATGTCTTCACCTTTTTTGCTTGAAAACCTGGTTTGTCCCTGAACGCACTGTTCTGCAGCTCTCTTACATGCTGGCTCTTTTCTCTCTAATTCCTTAATACTGAGTGAAGACATAGGATGACTTGCTTCTCGTTGCCAGACTTTCCCTGCTGCCCAACCCTGCCATTCTCCTCATCCCTCTACCTTGATGCTTTTGCTACCAGACTGTATCACCTACTGCTCCTCTGTGTTAGAGTCATTTATAGACCCTTGTCTTTTTTTTTTTTTTTGAAACGGAGTCTCCCTCTGTCACCCAGACCGGAGTGCAGTGGCTCAATCTCACAATCTCAGCTTCCTGCAAGCTCCGCCTCCTGGGTTCACGCCATTCTCCACCTCAGCCTCCCCGAGTAGCGGGGACTACAGGTGCCTGCCACCACGACCGGCTAATTTTGTTTTTGTATTTTTATTAGAGATGCAGTTTCACCGTATTAGCCAGGATGGTCTCGATCTCCTGACCTCGTGATCCTCCCGCCTCGGCCTCCCAAGGTGCTGGGATTACAGGTGTGAGCCACTGCGCCCAGCCAACCCTTGTCTTTTGAAGAGTTTAACACCTGACTCACTGTCCTTCCAACATTGTCATAATTCTTTACAGTTTTAGTATAAAAAAAGATGATACTTCCTATAGAACATGGCCTTTTGTTTTCATTTTCTTTCTTTCTCTTTTCTTTTTTTTTGAGAAAGAGTCTTGCGGTGTTGCCCAGGCTAGAGGACAGTAGTAGTGCGGTCATGGCTCACTGCTGCCTCTACTTCCTGAGCTCAAGCAAACCACCCTCCTCAGCTTCCTAAGTAGCTGAACCACAGGTGAGTGCCACTACGCCCAGCTAATTTTTTATTTTTTGTAGAGGTGGGGTTGCACTATGTTACCCAGGCTTGTCTCAAACTCCTGGGCTCCAGCAGTGCATGCCTTGGCCTCCCAAAGTGCTGGGATTACAGGCATGAGCCACTGCGCCTGGCTTATTTTCTTGATCATTCTCTTTAAAGTATCTTGTCTCCCACTTTAACTTAAAAGTCTCACCTATTGCCGTGCCATTAAAATTTTCATTATCAATAATAAGAACTCTTTCTTAGCCTCATTTATAATCATCCCATTCCCTGGTCACCACTTCCTGTGTTTCTAGCTTATTTCTTTAGGAGTCTGCCTCCAAAACATCTGTCCCATTTGGATCCATGAATCCTAATAGCCTCCTTTATTCCTCCCTCTTTGTTTCTATTTTCCTTACCTGGCTTAAATTCCATATTCATTTATAATAATTTCCAAAAGGTCAGCTCTCTTGCCTTCTCTTCCGTTATTACCAATAACCAATAACTAAAAAAACTTAACTTTGTGAAATCCAACTCTCCACTTCCTTTGTGCCTGAACCTGGTCAGTGGAATATGGCTGGAGAAAGCATATGACTATCGTAACTAGTCTAACTTTCAATATGTAACCAACAATGTCAAATTAGCACCTTCTGGTCACCCTATTATATTTCCTCAGTGTATTTACTCTTCTACTTCCTAGGTGATTATTTTTTTACCTTCTCTTTGCTTTTCACAAGGACCAATATTTTCTTCCTACTTCACTGAGAAAATAGAAGCAATTGGAAGAAAACTTCCCCACATTTACTTCTGCTAGTCAGTCTTACCTGTCGGCAAATATTTTGCCTTTCTTCCTTTTACTTTGGATGACCTGTTTCTGTTCCCAACTAGGGTCAACTCAACTATTTGTATACTGTGATTCTTTTTTGCCTGCTAAAGGACTTTGCGCTCTTTCTTGCATCATTATCCTTTTTTCTCTCTACTGAATCATTCATGTTAGAAAACAAATATCCTGTATCTTAAGTTTTTTTAAAAAGGAACTTTCCCTTATGTCCTTCCAACTACCTCTCTGTATTTCTGGTCCCTTTAACAACAAAACTTTCCCAAAAGATTGTCTATACTGTCTCCAGTTTATTTCATTTTGAACCCACTTTACTCATGGCTTTCTTTGTCACAGCTGTTATAAAACAGCTATTGTGAAATGGCTCCTGACGTCTGTATTATTAAATCCACGGGTCATTTTTCTTCTTCCTTGATCTCAGTTTTTGATTCACTTGATTGCTCCCTCCTTCTTTCAATATTCTCTTCATTTGAATCCCTGGTATTACATTCTTCTGATTTTCTTCCTACCTCATTGACTGCTGCTTCTCAGCCTCGTTTGCAAGTTCCTCCTCACCTCCAGGGCTTTTAAATGCTGAGGTGCTCAAGGTCTCAGTCCTCAGATATCTTCTCTTTTGTATCCATACGAACTTTCTAGAGGATAACATGTATATAAGCTGAGTCTCAAATTTGTATCTCCACCTTGGACTCCTTTCCTGAACTTGAGACTGATATCTGTCTTAACATCTCCAGTTGTGTATCTAATAGACATCTCAAAATTAACATATATAAAAATGAACTCTTGATTTCATTCTCTCTCCAAATTGATCTTACTTATTTCAGTAAATGGGAACTCTGCCCTTCCATTTGTTCTCATCTTCCATATTGGAGTCATTATTGACTACTCTTTCTACGTCATATCCTGTCAATCGTGACTTCAAAACGTATTCACAGTCTGACTACTTCTCACTATTTTTACCACTATATTAGTCCTAGCCACCCTCATTTTCCACCAGGGTTATAATATCAATGTCCTGGTTAGTCTAACTGCTTTCAGACTTACCCTCTTCAGTCTGCTCTCATGTGAGCAGCCCAAATGTTCCTTTTATGATGGAAGTCAGATCGTTACACTCTCCTGCCTGAAACTTTTCAGTGACTTTTCATCCCACTCAGTAAAAGCCAGGGTCGGCCTGGCGCAGTGGCTCATGGCTGTAATCCCAGCATTTTGGGAGGTGGGCCTCGTGACCTTGATCTCACGAGGTCAAGAGATTGAGACCATCCTGGCCAACATGGTGAAACCCCATCTCTACTAAAA